GGGGGCGAGCCCGGCTGCCCTGCTCCCCGCTGCACGGCGGGAGGTGCGGGACGGGTGATGAGGATTTTAGGTAACGTCAGCGCGAAGTGCATCACGCGGCACGGTGCAGCAGTAGTGCTTGCGTGAGTGCGGAGGGGTGACGAGGCGCAGCTCCGCGGTTACCACCTGCGAGTGACGCTCGAGTACCGGAGAGGGGGAGGTGAAGGACGGCGGGAACGCCCCCCGTGTGTCACCCACAGCTGGACGGGACCGACTGCTCCTCCCGAGAGCGGTGACCTCCCCGCGGGGGAGGCGGCTCTGGGCAGGAAGCACTACAAGGAAAACCGACCAAGGCTGAAAAGGAGGGGTGTTCTTTTTCTTCCCTAAAAGGAAGAAAAATATAAGGCAGGCTACAGGGTTTAAAATAGCTCCCTAGTTACAGGGGCAAATACCGAGGCAACAGAGCCATCCGCGGTGGAAGACGTGAGGTAAGGCGAGTCACGGCAGGGCAGGGCGAAAGGGGACTTTTACACCGAGTACGCCGTGGTCCTTCCACCCGAAATTCCTTTTTGCAGCAAGAGGGTGTACAGGGTCCAGGGGTAAACGGCCAGTCAGGGGCCAGGCTTGCAGAGTTGGTGGCCCAGCCCGCCTAGCTGGGAATTCTGCAGTCATTCGTTGTCATGTCGCTCCTTATTCCAAAATCGTAATTGCTGTTGCTTTTAAAACAAGTTAACAGTCCTTGTCTGTTAATTTATGACATACGTAACACTAAAAGACAGCATGCACACAGTTTCAAACAAGATGGTTCAGTATTTCATGTTTACTTAGTTTTAAGTTTTGAAAGTTTAAAAAGTTACACAGTTACAAACAAGCATTTTTGCCATTCAGCTTTGTCAAAAGAAATTAACATAGGAAGTAGGCACATCTTTGTTAAAGAACAGGACTTCATATCTTACAATGGTAATCAACTTGTAAAATAAGATTTATTTCCAAGTTTGTATTAAACACTCATATCAAGACAATCATGAAAGTTTTTTTTTTTAAATATTGCACCACCAAGATGAATTTTTATCCATTACCTAGTGAGTTATATTGCACATGGACAATTGGGTTCATCCATGTTTCTGAAAAACTTAAAATACAAAGGCAAGATAATTCAACGTACTCCAACAGGAGTAAGCTTAGGAATATAGAGTAACATTCTTGACCAGTTTGTGTGTTTGCATAAACTGCCTCCTTACAACCCTGGCAGCTTTCTCGGTGAAGTTTTGTTTCACAGCCTATTGGCAGGTACTAGCGTGATGCTTAGAAAAGGTCTGCAAGATCAGTAGGAACATGTGAAGAAAGCAGTCTCAACAGCAAGATCTACAAAGCATAGGAAAGTCACGCAACAGACAACTGTTCTGGGTTCAGCTAGGTTGTCAGTCCCCCTTCCTCCCTCCCCCACCCCCTATAAAAATCTCAGTTCAATCAGAAAACTCTTGGCCATCAAAACTGATTTGTCATACCAATAAAATTTACTTTATTTAAAACTACACATACAGTACACATCTGCCAGAAACTTACTTCAACCTCCAGATACCAAGACAAAGGAAAAAACACGGTTGTCTTAATGCACAAGAGGGCCAAAAGAGTATATAAAAATTAAAAGCTATTTGCACCTTGACACTTTGCATTTCTTGTCAGCATTGTAAGGAGCAGATACCATTTGTAAGTATGTATTTTAACATATGCCAAGAGTGATCCCAAACCAATTCCAGATGAGGAATTACTACAATTAAAAAAACCTGTGCGTTTGTTGTATTTGTACAAGTGCAATATTTAACAATTTCAAAATAAAAGGGTAACAAAAACACACTGATTTATTCAGTACATCAGAACCAATTCTTACAAGACTGAAAACAGGACTTAAAAGTAGGATCTGCAGCTGGTCCTTCATGTTGACATCTCAATCTCAGGAGTTTAAACCCAAAGCTTTACCTAAGGGGAATCTTCCACTTTGAGATACAGCAATACCACTTGCACTACAGGGACCGTGTGTGACACTTGGAGGTAAAGAACTGAAGTTGTAACTTGTACCTGCATACTAGACAGACCACACAGTTGCCCAGTTCAGAGCACAGTTACAGCAGTTCCAGGGCTTAAAGCAGCTTTATGTTTCTTCAGATTCTCTGCATGTTCGTAACATGAATTTCTGGACTGAAGCCAGTCAGCCTGGATTAAACTGTTCTTGTATCTGTAGCTAGCAGTTTTCCGTGGATGAAATCGCAGTCATTGGCAAGAATCCCCATCCATTTTGAGAGTCCAGGTTTCACTGTTCATAGCAATGCCTTCATTTCCAGTCTCTCCCTGGGAGAGCAACCTTTCAAACTGAGTAGGTCATTGAGTTTACTTTGAAGAGAACATTAATTCTTGAATGCAAACCTAAACATTTTATGACATAATTTACTGTTTATGTCTATTAGTGCTAGATGAAAAAATGGAACTGTGACTAATTATATCCAATTTACAAGAGACTGAATGTTTTTGTGCAAGTACTAGCTGTGATTTTAACGTACTAAGTTCAATTTTCTTCCTGAAACATTGCAAAAACCATAAATGCAGAAGGATTTATGTTGCTGGTAATTGCAGTCTACTGTTGAAAACTTTTTGAATATTAGCACTCAAGTTGTCAGGATCAGTTTTCAATGTTCCAACTGAAAAGTTGGACTATTTAACTTCACAATTAATTTAAATAGTAAAGTTTGCTATAAAGGCGGCCTGGGAAAACCTAACCTATATATGTAGTTTCAACTGCAAAGTGAATTCTATATAGTATATGCTAAGTTAACATGTGATAAACAGCTGTATCAAAGTATTAACACATTTTAAAAAACTCTCACTTTCAGATTCTGCAATAGCATCAACAGCCCTTAGGCTGTGCTCTTAGCTACACGCACATGTTTCTAAGGAAAAGAATTCTCAGCCTGCAGTAGCAGCGGGGAGCTGCTGTGCTCCTACCACACTATGCACAGATCAGCAGCTTGCTGACAGTTCTCCTTCGCAGAGCAGTATTTTGTTTTAGCCCATGGGGTGCCAAGTCTTCTCAGCATTGTCTCTCTCCACTGCTGTGGACTCAATTGTTCCGCTCACAGCCTGCAGAATTTCACCCTTAGTGCATTACAGAGCACCTACACACATTTCCACCTGATTGGATCTGCATGCATTTAATCAAATTTTGTAAGTTGTTAAAAGTAGTACATTGTAACAAATTAAACTATTCTTTATCATTTACTGTCAAATAAGGGGGAAGACACACAGCAGTTCTACTGCATTACTGTTAGAAGATGTTGATAGTTCTGACCGACTGAGGCACAACTGTAGATGGTGACCCAACAAGTCATACTTAGGTCACTGAACGAGTAAGTATGCATTTACTTACAGTGCATCAGATGGATGTATTACCAGTGAAAAAACCACGAAGGTCTAACTTAAATGTTATACGCAGCCTAATGTGCACTCAGTGTAAAGTGTTACAAACACTGCCCCAAGGGCATGTGATTTCCTGTACCTGTATTACACTATTGGACAGCAGACAATCAGAATTCACTCCAGCTTCAAAATATATGTTAACTGCCCATAATCTTTTCAATCCCTGTGCAAATTGCATTCTGTGGCTAGCTTCTTCAGCGCCTTAGTTAATTTAACTTGATTATAACTGGAAGCATCTGACTATGATTTAGGCATGCTTATTGCTATAAAAGAAATAAGCCCATCTTCAAAATTATTGTGCAAGTATTTTAATAAGATTTGCACACATCTCAAAAAATTCTATTGTATGACTCCCTGGTCTCGGAGTTAAGTCAGCTGTAGAAGAGTCAAGCGAAGAGCTCACTGATGAGGTAAGGGATGTATCTGCAGATTTTCCTTGCACATCAGCATCTGAATCTTTTTGACAGGATCTGTAGTTGCTCACAGAACCTGACCTCTGTGGAGTTGCAGTCCCAGACTTCG